GACTATGTACATTTCGTTGTAGTCGAGATACGTAAGCATGTTGAATTCCGCTTGGTGCTGGGCGGAGTAGACGCAAAAATGTTGCGCGACGCCATACTCGAGTGCGCGAGAGAACGGTGTGGGATGGAGTGGGAGCTTGCGCGGACGGCGCGAGGGCGCGCGTGAGCGGGAGCGAAAACCCTAATATATAAGAAGATCTACCGAACCTCACCGCCCGTTGACCGAACGCCGATGGATTCCGGAAAAAGATTCCGGAAAAAGATATTCATATGAGAAAAGATAAAGATATGTTATTCATATGAGAAAAGAGCCGCACACACGTGCAAAATATGTGTGACACACGTGTAAAAATTATAGGTATTATTGTGTGTGTGACAGAGGGAGATAGAGAGAATATGTGTGAGACACGTTTAAAAATTATAGGTATTATTGTGTGTGTGACAGAGGGAGATAGAGAGAATATGTGTGACACACGTGTAAAAATTATAGGTATTATTGTGTGTGTGACAGAGGGAGATAGAGAGAGACAGAAAGAGAGAGACAGGAAACAAATGAGAGAGGGAGAAGGCAGAGAAAGACACACAGACAGACACAGAGACGGAGAGAGAATCACAGATACAGACAGAGAGAGAAACGGGAAAAAATAAATGTACCTGGTACCATAATAATAAAGTTGTACCGCCCATTCGGACTCTGGTTCCGATTCTAATTCCGAGAGAGGAGAGAGAGAAAAAGCGCCGAAGAGAGAGAGAGAGAGAGAGAGAGAGAGCGTCTCTCACGACTCGACGGACGGCGAGACAGCGAGACCGGTAGAGAAAAAAGAAGGCAGAGACGAACGGAATGGCATTGGAGACGACGATAGAGCACATCGGACCGAAGGAACTGCGCTCCGAGCGTCAAAGTTGCGAAAACTGCAAAATGCGAAATGCTGGCCTGTCAGCGCTCGAACGGTCCGGACTGCACTCTGAAACCAAGTGAATAAGCGTGGTGGCCTGAGAGCGCTCGAGAGAGCGTTTCCCGGCCCGGAGAAAATGCTGCGATTCTACGAAAAAGATAAATGAAATAATTGTTACAGTCCCGAGCACCAGATAAAAAAAAGAGAGGTGATCCCCTCGACGGAAAGCTGATTGCAAACAGGAGTACAGTCGTGGGCCCGGTTTAGCGGTTCCCTGTTTAGAGGGATGCCCTGAATAGCGGCTATAAAATCTCGTGACACGTCTGCACTCCGGTTTAGCGGTTATCGGTTTAGCGGTTATAACCGCTAAATAAACCGGTCGTGCCTTCAACAGCGGTTACTGGGCAACCAAGAAGACCCAGCGTTCCCCTCGCGTCGCAAATCCACCCAACCAAGCGCAAAGAGGCAGAAAACGGCTTTCTAGCACCAAGCGCGGAAAAAAACCACTCGCGCTGCAGCTTCACGACAGCCCCGTACGCGGCCCAACTTTGGCCGGAAGCTTGGGGTCTCAAATATTCTTGACCAGAAGGTAGAGCACTCAGAAATAACGCGCAGATTGAAGCTTTGCAGAAGGATCGAATATAAAGCTCTTGAGAAGTTCTTCAGTATGTACACGGAGGGGCCTAACCCCTCCGACGACGAGTTAGAGCTAGAGCTAGAGCGAGATTGCACCGCAGAAGTTGACGGTGCGAAGAGCAAGGGGGTGATGGCGCAGCTGCCATACTCGGAGTTACCGGCCGATTTTGGCCAGCTTAAAGAGTGCGCGGAGTTGTGTGGCGTGAGCGAGGCAGCGCACTATCTTCGCAAGGCAAAAATGGCGTTCCTCGAAGCGAATATAAGAGAGGGTTTGGGTTAAACATGGTCGAGACACGCGACAAATAGTACAAATGAGCTGCTCAAGCACGTGGTTGGTTGCCATTGCGTTGTCACGAACTTGCCCCAGGTTCGTTAGAGACGGGAACGATTTTCCAGTCAGAATGAAGGGCATACAGTCCATCAGGGAAAACAAGCTTTGCGCTTTCGTGAATTGAAATGCACCATGTGCTTGCTGTGTTGTCATCCTTAGGGCCGATAATTTTTTCATCTGCACCCTCGTATGACTGCTGCAATGAGACACATGCTGGCCCTACATCAAGATGAACTTTCGATGCTGCTCTTGTTCGGCAAAAATGGGCTTTATCCCGGTTTAGCGGTTCATCACCTCTTGCCAAAGAGATGCCCTGAATAGCGGTTATAATTTTTCGTGACACTATGGACCGCTAAACCGGGCCCACCACTGTACTGATCCCCTTGACTGAAGGGTTTATCGCCCGCACCAAGCAAGCCCAATTATCGCAGCATCGCAAGCATACCTTAGGGATGTAATAGCAACTCTCTGGCCAACTTTACCAGCTTCGCTTGTTTCCGAGGGATTCTCAAAAATCACTCAATCGGGATTGATTGCGGCCTACGAGCTCCGTTTTAAGTACAACAAAAAGCGGCCGAGTGGTGCAGTTGATCCTCGTCAAAAACAGTCTGGCTTTCTGTGTGTTCGAATCCCTCCAAAGTGAAGAAAACTCACACAAAACAAACTGGGCGAAGAATACTGGACCCTTCTCGCCTCAAACGATGAGGCCCAGCTCCGCCTGAGGAACAGTGAGCATCCCTCCTATCTATTCGTATCCGATACACACGGAAAGGTGGGTTTGGGGCCGCGCGCAATTTGCGATTCTCCCTATTCAGGGAGTGTCTTTTCCCTCCGGAATGTTAGGGGTATGGGCAGCACACTAGATGCGCTATTTTACTAGATCTGTCGTTCCGCAGCCTTTCGTTGACGGACATATGTAGCGCGCTTGTCTTTTTCTTCATGACTTGCTAACCGTCATCGTATCGACACGTGAGACAGACAACCCGCTGCCTTTATCCCTCGCCACACTGCGCGAACATGCAACAAAATTTGTTGGATTAATGCTAATGCTTTGACTCTCTCTTCCTATCGTACCACAATCTCAATAGAAAATTCAATCGCCGCCCGCACTTCTCACTTAGTATGTCCCCCAAAAGAGTGGAGTTTCGAAAAAAACTCATGGCGCCTCGGCAGCCCTATAGCGGCAGCTCGTGTCTAAGTATCTACTCTATTCTGCCATGCATCTGTGCCGAAACCACCAGGAGTAACATCTCTAATCCTGAGCCCGACAAGCTACAGTAGAAATAGGCACCGGGTGGGAAACGATGATTGGCGATCCGAACCCGTTGAACCAGGCGATTTTTCGCTCAAAGGGCCCGAGTCGCCGCCATCAACACAAAACGAAGACAAAAAGTTTATCCCGAAAGACACACAAAATAACATTTAAGTACCAGGAACTTTGTGACCCCCGGTTGCACGTCCAATATTTACCTCCGCGTGTTATACCAACGCCAAAATTAGCGGGAAAAAATGCTCACGTTCACACATACAAAACACACATAAACACATCCAGCATGGGACGAAAGCTGAAGTAGAATTGTGAACTGAAAATAGAAACTGACAATGCCATGGCTCTGGACGGCTGACCGTATGGCGTGCGTCATCTCTATCGAATGCCTCAGGCAAAGGAGGGAAGGCTGCGGTTAGGCGACGACCAAGCAAGGTCCTACAGAGCCTCCAACCTGGACAAATACTACTATTCTTGCAATGCCTCGAATGCCGCCATCGTTACCTGCCTCCGTTAAGCCTTGAACTCTTTATCCTCAACAGGAGAACTCCCAGTACAAGCACAATACTTCTACCGGCCTATTTCTCCTCCCCGGCCGCGACCGATTCATTCGCCGCGCCATGGAACCTCTGACAAAATATATTGTTCATACAACACGCACCTTTCGGTCAATGTCTCGGTATTGTCTAGTCTGCGCCTCCCGCAGCAATCACGCACGATCACAATACGACAGCACGGTGAATGGATCAGTCGGCGCCATGGAACCTCCGGCAATCAAAACTGTTCACACAAATCTCGCCTAAACGATCAAAACCTCATCTTCGTCTAGTTTGCGCCTTTCCACAAAAAGCACGCACAATCACAATACGACACACACAAACCGATGAACCACGTATGTGCTGAGCTATAATAAGATAACATCGTCTTCATGAGCGTAAACTATTGCGCTCAAGTGCCGGCTTAACACTTTGACGGCAGAATCGTACGTCCGCACGCAGTGCCGGGGTCATGATAGATATTCCTGTTTCGTCACACCCTCTCAAGACAACTACCCCCCTCCCGCCCCCCAAAAACTGAACGGTTTTCTTGTAGATGAGCTACAACACAAACAACACAAATCATGAAACACGGCGCGCATGACCTCGCTGGCTGCGACAGACACCGACCAACTCTCACTACAAAAATATCGACAAGTCACGATATGGTGGAATCGAAATGTTGTGCGCAATTTCACCAATAGTATATATCCCGAACGTGCTAGAAGAAAACGTTCCTAAACACCGATGAATTATATGAAATATGAAAAGCAGTACTCCCAAACCTATCCCTAATTACCCGACACGGGTATGGACTGCTGTGCACGCAAGAAAATAATATCCAATATGATGGGTGCCAATTGTCACCTAAGGAAAAAAATCTTTCTCTGGCACGCTACACCAAGAGCAGTGAGGAGCAGGAAGCGCAAACCAACGCGTTGGCGGTGAGGCGGGGGTTTCCTGCAACATATTTATCTGAACTATTCTAGAGGGAAAAGCATCCTTCAAAGACAACAACGCCTGTCCCAATCGAGAATGCCCCTCACGGTGACAAGGGGAATGATAATCTATTAAGAACATACACAGGGCGGTCAATGCTAGCCTAAGAGACGCACGAATACACGCCCCTCCCTGTCGGCAGAACCCATCACGTTTTCGTTTTTCGTCCAGTAGTAAAGACCGGCGAAATTTCATTGGTCAGTAGCGCGGTCGATCCCAATTCAAAGACGCACGCACACGTCCACACCGCGGTCGAAGCTAATTTAGAAAGCACATGCACACGCACACGCACATACACCGGTCCTCTTACGGGGCTGTGGCCCCGGCGGGCTAGCCTTATTCTTCCGTGTCAAACGCGAAGGGGGCGTACGCCCCCTGGGCGAAGAGTAGAGCACAGGACACCCCGCAGATAACGGTCGTGGCGGCCCATCCGGCAATGATCTTGAGTACCATCCTGGTGTTGAGCCCGTCGAGGCCCTTGGGTTTCGATCGTACGCCGCGGGGCATGGAAGGGAGGGGGTGTCCTGATCATGTTCTGCATGCCTTAGCGGTTATATCATTCACCTTGAATCCTCGAGACGATGGAACAGCAGAAGGACGAAACGATTTATCATCAACGATCGACCCCGTGTGAACAAAAAACCCGGGGCGTGTGTGTGAAAAACCGGGTTGGGATAGGGTGGGGGGCATCCTTCATATGCTGGGCAGCACCGGTTGCGGGGTACCTGTAGTGAGTGCCTACTTTCCACGTCACAAAGGGCAAGTTGTGCGGAGCGCTCCATCGAACACCACTTCATTTCCAGCGTTCGGGCACAGGGGGAGGAAGGGAGACTAGGGGGAAGGCGGCCGTGGGTGCTCTCACCTCAAGCAGGGCAACTCCCGAGGTGGCGCCGACCTGGCAGTGCGTAGAGGACAGCGGAACTCCCAGCCTCGTCCCCGTGATCATGACCAGGGCCGCCCCGATTTCTATGCTGAACCCCCGGGACGGTGTGATCTTGGCGATCTTCACGCCGATTGCCGTGATAATCTTGTGCCCGCATAGCGCCAGCCCGGCTACGATGCCGCAGCCTCCCAGAGCAAGGGTCCTAAATTATTGAAACGTGTTACGATACGCTGGGTGGAAAAAATATTGGAGATTCACACCGCCGAATGAATATTTTCTCCTCGATTTCCATAATATATGCCATAAAATATGCATACGTAATCATCATCTCAGTTAGGGTTGTTCGCCTGTGGCCACGGCAGGCGTCCGCGTCAGTTGGACCATGGCGAATGTTTGAAAAATAGAAGGAATGCATGAGCAGAGGTCGGGACGGTTGTTAGAGGTGGAGGCAAGCACAACAACGGGAGCAACACAACAGAGGTTTGGTCGACCGCACTGGTCACGGAACACGACGACGCACAGCAGCGGGGGTGTACATGGTGCAAAGTGAGACGGAAGTGTCACTAAAACATGAAACGCTGGCCAGGTTTACCAATTTTGTCAGAGATTCACTGCTGTAGTCAAGGAGAAAAACTACTGCAGCGACCGAACGACGATTGAATTCTTGCACAATACTTCCATATTTAGTCAGGGACGCTTGTTGAATGGTGGGAATATTCACAAGCCGTAGCGGGAAAGAACGGTAGAATAGCGCAATTGTTCGCCTAAAACACCGAATAACATGGACGACAAGAGGGCATGCATTCCACGATCGACCAGAGCCCTATGCTTCTTGCAGTTTTGGGACTTGGAAGAAAACAAATCTCGACAGGCAGCGAATGGCGGTGCGGAAATCAATCTACGTCTCTCCGTTGTTGAGTGAAGAAGTACAGCGCCGCCGGCTATTCTGAACGTAATCGAGGGTTCTAGCCCTATCGTGGCGTGCTCGCGAGCACTCACAGGTATCCAGGCGCGCCGAGGTCTCTACCCCTTCGGATTCCCCCATCGATATATACCGTGCAGATGATCTCGAAGGGACCCATGGCGTTGGCCACGTCGTTAGCTCCGTGAGCGAAGGCGTCGCAGATTGCACTCGTGACCTGGACGTACTTGAACACCTCTGGACGGCGAAGGGTCGGGCGACGCATGAAGCAGGGCCAGGGGTTTGGTTCGGTCATTGTCACGGCGTGGTCGGCAGCGCCGCGCATGGTGATAGGCAGTTCTTCGAACAATATCATTTTCCATTCATGCTAGACATGAGAGGATGGATGGGGCGCGAAATATGGACATGGGGGCGGATGGTCTCAGAATGACCTCGGAATTGGTTTTGAACGAAGAACGGGTGCAAAAAGACCGAGAGTTCAATACTTCATTCTTTGGCGTAGACGACATTTTTCATGTTTGTCTTCTGTGTCAATTCTCCTTTGTCAGCGTTTGAGAGACAGTTAGCTTCAACGAACCACGACAGAGAAGTGGCAATGGCTCTGTTTACTGTAGGTCGTCACAAGCTCAATAAACTCGACGCAAGTGCGGAAATATGACGTCACTCTATTTTCACCCTCAAGCCATTGCAAACGCAAGCTTGCCATACGGAGCTCCACCTTCCCGGTCGGCGGTCAGTAATTTCTGTTTCGGGCGAGGTTTCCACGGCGGCGTGTTTTTTTTAGTGTGAGAAGCACAACTTCAATAGGAGCGCTAGGGAGCAGATCGTGATGCCTAGTGACAACCGCGAAGACGCGTTCGTGTTCACTTGAGGACACATGGTCCCTAGCAAATTTGTTGACATCATGGTCAACCTGTGCATCTTCCAGCAGAAACCGTCGGTCATGATCTAGCTTGGATGGACGCAAACACCATACGTTTTGGGGGAGCTGGGGTCATTTCTTGCGAAAGGCAGTGGTTACGACGACAGTGGATATATCAAGAAAATATATCAGCATTGTGTGCACGTTTCGCTACGTGGGCGCTGCAGAGGGCTGTGTGCTGGTTGTGTGTGCTTCTCGTCCTGTTTAGTGCGCTGGGTGCACTCTAAGCCTGGTCTTTGTCGGCATGTGTATATGTGTATGATCAACCAGGTGGGGTTATACACAGGATAAACGGAAAGCACAGCAGGTCGAGAAATGGAAATACCGTAGTATACAAGCACACCTTCTGCTCGGGGGTCGAACTGCTCGGCGCTAGAGTGAATCGCGACGACCTCTTCATAAGTGTCCAAGTAGGCGTGGATGTTGCGCTCCCGAGTTTTGTTGATGAAGGTCCCGACGCGACTACCACTCCTGCTGCGGCCGCCCTCCAGGTCTTCGGGGTCGCACGCGCCGATGTTGCCCTCCTGTTGAGGAGAAAGGGAAGAACAAATGTTTCACTCTGCCAGCAGTTGTTCCCGGATTCAAGGCTGTTGTTTCTCGCCCCTTGCCCACGGAATCGTGTCGCTCCGTGAAGGCTCCCGAGATACCGTTGGTCTTTTGGGATCAAGTATAGGCTTGGTGCTGTGAAGGGAGTGAAAAATGTCAACATCATTCAATCTACATGTACGACGGCGGGTGTTGAAAGGTGGTTCATCCATGCGTGTTGTGAAGAAAATGAAGGGCGGTTTTACGCACCCTACCTACGGCACGCTGCAGTTGATTCGTACGTGCTCGGCAGTGACTGAAAAGCATTGTCACTCACTCTTTTTTTTACGATGTGGGGGTGGTCCGTACGTGTTGCGGTGGACGTTAAGATTGTCCTTACCATCTCTACGACAGGTAAGGATCGTTGAATCATACTTCACATGCTTGGGACGGAGTGAAAAATGACGCCATTCACTCCAGTATGGGGAGGGTTGTCGTTGATCCATGAGTGCCGGAAAGAATGGAGGGCGCGGATTCTACTCAGAGAGAGGAGTCCCAGAAAACACTGGGAGGGTAGGGCTCGACCGATCACAACCATGTGAACTGGGACTTTAAGGGCATAATACCCGAAAGCGACACCTCAAATTCGCAATGTACAAATCATCGGGAGCTGCCAACCAAAACCTTTCGTTCTATGTACCACTATGTAGGTGCTTGCCCCTCGCCCGCGGCAAAAATACTAAGCGGCCATCCTTCGTCGTGAAGTCTGTTGTTGAGACAAACTGAAGAGAACGATACAACGCCTGAGAATAAGGGATGCTCTCCCCAACGTGCCGCACAAGACACGGAAAGGACTACAGCGAAGATACCAGCCACGGTGGCGACCCACCAAGAGAGACACGCCTTTCGTTGCACATACATCAGAGAGAGAGTGCGACTGCACAACGCGAAGAGAACGACTCTCCGCCGCCGTACCGGTAAAACTTTTCTAGTGCCATCTCCGTAGATCTTCAGCACTCTCCTCCTCAGAGCGGGAATCACCGTAGGTGCCAGAACGAGAGGGACGCTGCCCCCCAGCCCCAACCCCCACCCGAGTGAGATCAGAACGCTGGTCTCGTCGAGGTGCATACTCTTCGCGCCCTTGTACACGAAGACAAACACTTCCCAGAGGAGGAAATGAAGATCGGGGGGAGAGGGGGGGGGGGGGGATCAGCAGTATCCCGGACGACGGGAGCGTGGCCGCTGGGCCGCTAGGTTGTAGAACCGAACAGGGTACTGTAGTGCAGACAGACCGATCACTTTCCCCTCAAAGGTGTAGGATTGCCACTACAAACGCGTCTCGCATGTATGTACGTTCGCAAAACTTAGAAAACTACGTTCGCCAAATCTGAAGAACTTCCCCGACCATGCAATCATGTGCTCATACTCATATTTGTTGTAGATACCACGCGAGTTTGTTTTCAATATTCCAACGTCGTTTGCAAATGCTCGTGTACTTGGGCTGTCCGTGAAAAGTATGCCGCGCGAAGAACACACTAAACTACAGCTACACATACTTGTAGATCCCGGCCTCTTACCGTTGACGGCGATGGTGACCATCACCAAGACCGGGAACACCCAGAAGGACCGGCCGAAGGCGTTGGGAGACCTGAGCACGAAGGCGCGGACCGTCAGAAACACAAGGAGCGATGCAACTCCGGAGAAGATCGGAGACAGCACCCACGACACCGCGATGGCGGCCACTCCCTTGAAATAGGGGAAAATGTCGGACTCCTGGTACCATACCACGCACCCCGACCCCGCGTAGGCGACGGCCATTCCGATAATTGCGCCGATCGTGGAGTGGGTGGTGGAGACAGGTAGCTCGAGGTAGGACGCGAGCAGGAGCCACATCCCGGTCGTGTAGACGACGCACATCATGCCGTACATGAGTATCCCAGGGTTGTCCAGGAAGCATTCAACCTTCGTTTGAGAATATTCATGACGCGTGCAATTGGATTGGATGGCGTGTAAATATTGGTGCGGCAGCTAGGGACCGTAAGGCTCCCTGGCGGCGATTGCAAGGTGGTGTGGTGCGGTTGTAGAAGTGCATCTTGTTGAAAAGCACGGGGGTGATCACAGAGAGCGACCTTACACAAAGAGCGAAGAGCGGGAGCAGTTGAAGTATAATTGAGATATGCCCAATGGAGAAGCCGTGTTTGTGTTGTGTGACTGGAGCTCCAGATAAATCGTATATGGCGAAGCTGACACTGCAAGCTACGTGCACCTTGAGGAATATGTTCGCGTCTATTCAACAGCGGCAGTCTCCTGCAGGGCAGTTGTAGTAGTTCCCGTTCGAGAAGTCGGATATTTCCTTGTGAAAAGGGCGAAAACGTTTACCGGAAGGTTGCGAGTCAGCGCACGGTCCAGGGTCTCCGCACGGTCCGGAGTCATCGCACAGGGTGCGATGCAAATTAAACGGCGAAAAGGATTAATTCAATTTCCGCACAGGGTGCGGAGTCACCGTACAGGCGTGCAATGACTCGCAACCAAGGGTAGTTGAGTGCCAGTAATTCCGAGGCAGCTTTCACCCCTGCGACCAGGCCAGTGCTAGCATGTTAGCTCTGGTTTATTGGTAGGGTATGGTCGCACACCACACGTAGAGTTATGAAGGAAATGAAACATACCCGGTAGTTGTTGTTGTTGTTGTTGTTGTTGTTGCTGTCTTCACATTAAAAACCGTTCCGATCTCTCTCTACCCAGTACCTTGATGTCCGTACTGATCCAACACTCGACGCGGTCGATTCCCGTGGTCACAGGGTAGTATAACCATTGGATCGGAAAACTTTTCATTGTCCGTTCACCCCAAACTACCGTGTCCGCAGAGGAAGGGTCGCCACCACTATTTAGTCCCTGAGACCGCGGCCCTCGGTACTCGAACCCTCCGACATGAATGCCAAGCGATTGTGTGTCGCGTGTGGGCACAACTCGACGGTGGGCGGGAAATGATTCTTTTCCGCCCGCCGCGCGCCGGATTTCGTATTTCGTCGCATTTGTGTGTAGTGTGTATGCATATGTACATATAAGATTTGGTCACTGTTCATGCTTCGGCGTTTGTTTCTCTCGCGGCAGCGAGTCTTCTATCGCAATTCCTTCTCGGGAGCACGAAAGAGGCTCGTCGGTACATTAACGCCCGTGCCCGCAGGTCGGTAGGCCTCCGTGGCGCGTGTGGTTGACGGCAAAAGTTGCGAAAACTGGCTCAAAACCCCGGGGACGCGTTCCGCGCTGACAAAGCCTGGCGAACCAACTAAGGAAAAATAAATACACACACAGACACACAGAAAGACTACCCATTCGAGATACCCACAGTCGAACGAACCAATTCTAAAACCTGTCAAACCCATCAAATACGACGGTTTGAAATATTTGCCTCTTGCTTCTCCACTTTCATTCGTTAATTTTAATTCATTCATTCTTTCGACGATTCATGGCTGTGACTCTTCGTGTCATCGCATTGTAGAATAGCAGTACCTATGTTTACTACACTTCGCAGCGGGCCAAGTTTAGACAAGTCTGAGAGCATACATCCAGCCGCAGTGTTGAACATGTCCCATTTATTTGTGGTGTTGTTTCGGCTTCAAATTCGGTTCTCATCGGAAATCTGCCATGATCAATCAAAGACATCATGGAAGTCTGAGTTTTCGCTGTATTGTCCGCTCGAGCTGGCTTCAACGTAGAAAAACAACGTGCGCGATGTTTTGTGCCGCGATGTTTTTTGCGGAAATACAAGCGTTGCAAGACACACAGCTAGTCCCTATTTCCAGCAATGTGCATGTGGTCTTGCGTCAAGTGAGGGAGGGTAGACACCCACGTCCCGAAGGGAGACCTTTTATGTATTAATTTTTAGCATCGACCTAAGAAGCCGAAATCAGACCCAATCATAGACCGCGCTAAGCGGATGATCAACGAAAAGACGTCAACAATAGTGCGGTTGAACACAAACCAATTCTAAATGTGTGTATGCTTTCTCAAAAATCTACTGCAGGAGAATCCACCGTGCTAACTGCTGTGATTGACTGATCGATGTGTGCGTGTGTACGTTGCATGTGTAGCCTGCAACCGCAGCACAACTGAGGTGTCCGTCCGTTTGCAAAGATTTTTCGAGCACCGCACATACCGGAGTTATCTATCGCACAAGGGTGCTTGGTATAATATCAATGCAAAATGCAATTTCAAATGATTTAACTCGATTTCCGCACGAAGTTCGGGGTCTCCGCACGGTCCCGAGCCATCGCACAGGGGTGCGATGTAAACTAAATGGCGAAATGACCGCACGGCGGTGCGCTGACTCGCAACCGTACGGTACAGATTGCGATCGATCGTTGAAACACAACCGGGGTTGCTTGATGCTACATATATATATATACTTGTAGTCTACATGGGAAAAATCAGCGTGCGGGGCGTAGAGCTATGTATAAGAACAAACTGTGTGCGAGACACCACCGTGAGGCACTTTCACACGGTGGACTTGGGGTGGACGCGGCGCCACTTCGCGAACCTTTCAGCCCCGTATGCATACATACCACCAGAAAGACACTCACTCGCGTGTGCAACGGATCTGTCAATATCTGGTTGGCAGACGAACTCACGTTGACGATGTTCTCGCGGACGGCCTTCGTCACGTGTGTGCCCAAGAGTAGCGCGCCCAGGAATTCAAATATTCCGGCCAGTACTATCGCTTGCCTGCACGAAACGTCGGGAGGCGACCGCGTTCGTTCGTGTGTCGTGCGAATACAAACGGCGAAACATTGTACATCTTCGTGGTGTTATGCATCCTGAAACAACCCACTGCGGCTGACCTGATTTCTTACTTGCGTGGTGTGTGCTCCACACCATGAACTCTCGGGTAAAAACTGTGACCAATGGTCGTAGATGCACCATGTTTCGACATACTTTAGAGTGACGGCCCGAGCCCCCACGGAGGTCGCAAAGGCGTTCGCGACGTCGTTGGCCCCTATGCCTAGACGTTCATGGTCGAGGACGCAAGAAAGAAATCAGCAAGCAGGGAAAAAAATGAGGGCGGGTGAAGTCGGAGGACACACGGTTTCCGACAAACTTGTGTGCGAATCTGCTTCTCCACAACGTGCGTGTCTCGAGCATGCATGAATGTCCCCTTGCACGACATGGCTCTTCTCCGCGTGGCTAGGGTGGCGGTGTACCGTTTGGAAAGTTGACTATCTTGTGGTGGTCCTGCCGCAACTCTCTACACTAACTAAACTCTTGTTGTATGCATACATGGTCTAGACTACACCTCAGTAAGACAGCATTCCGCATTCCGACAGGATCAGCATGAACACACGGTAGGCCATCAACCAACGCACCGAAAGCAGCCAAGAAGCTCCCAAAAGCGCCGACGACGACGATCCAGAGCCATTGATCCGAAGCCTCTGGGGCAAGCATTCGCGGCTGGAGAGCTTCACTCATGTGGAGGCACGTACACACAGCAGCCAGCCGTGGTACTGTCGGCAAAAGCTTGGCGGTCTACTGTATGTGCCTATCTCGAGAGTCTCTGAAGATTCGGACTTTTTAGAAAAATTACTCTGGGTGGGCACAATAGGGCTGCACGAGCGCCGCCCAACCGGATACGGAGCTTTCTCTCTCGGCACCACGACAGAACGCCTCGCGAACGATCTCGAACCACCCCTTTGTCCTTCGAGCTAGGCAACTTTCTGCTACCACGGAGCAATGGGAGAGGTGCCTGTTCGCTCGTGTCCGTTTGGCTTGCTATGGGTTGGATTGATTCTCTGTGGCGAGCAAGTAAAGATTTGGAACTTTACGCGGGCGATGCGTTTGTTTGCGACCCTTCGAACCCGCATTCACAAACCATCACGCTGGGAGACTGGAGGAGAGAGACCAACAACCTCTCCGCCCAACATGGAATACAACCATGGCAAACAGCCTACCAGGTAGACTACTACAGAGATTCCGCGCGACACGGAAGAGGCGAGAACGCGCCAGCGTAACAGCCACAAAAAAGTTGCGCAGCACGCCAAAAAAACTGTTTCCTTGATATGTACACAACAACAACAACAACGACCGCTACGATGGTCCGTCTTCTTCAGAGGCACCAGGAAAAGATTCTGATGCAGATGCAGACGCGGGGAAAGATATATCGCTGCGCAGGACAGCATGGTTGTATGTGGGTTACCTACTGCGGATTAGATCAGACTATTGCATGCTGCTGTTGCAGTCTACGTATGCATCAACAGCGGGTAGTACGGCTGGCGACATGCATCCTGCAACAGGAGTGTCTTTTGTTTCACACGTTTGTTTGGTGGAAAGTGGAACGTGGCAGAAAAGGAGGTTCGGAGAGTAGTAGCTTCGGAGAGCAACCTCTACAAGCACCAATAAAGCTCAAAGCTGACTCATTTGGTCAGGCCGTGGCAAGAACCAAGTGATCGCGCCGCCTGCACCGCAGTATTTAGCACACACCGCGCCGCCACACAGCACACAAATAGACACCGTACCAGGTAGGGGACAAATGAGACTTTTCACTGCAACGCACTGCACATAAGACACCGCACTTAGAACTGCTATTCGGCTGTGTATGTATGCCGATATACCGTAGTCACCCCACCCCGTGGACCGGTTTTCCAAGTTCAATTACTCCACGGCGCAGAGGATGAATACACCACACGATAGGGGTTTGGAAAGCTCTCGCCAAGGACAGACGTGACTGCCGTTTTCGGCGCTACTATAACTCTCCCTGCTGTGGAGAAATCGGGCTTTGAACATCGACGGAGGGGGTATGATATCTTACGTCACATGCGATACAAGCACGGTTCATCAGCGTTTCGTTCACCGCACCGCACACCAGCGACAGCTGCAGAGAGGGGGTACAGACACCGCACCCGCAAAGAGAGAGGCAACAGAGAGAGAGAAGAGAGGAAACAACACAGCAACATGCCAGCGTCGACAGCATTGCCCAAACATGCACTTTCGGTAACTTGGTCTGAAGCCACGAAAAATTCGAGGGAAACAAGCTCCCGGTACCAGCAGCAGCAACGGCAGATGTGGCGAGGACAGCAGTCCGAGTAGTGGCATGCGGTGGAACTATACGGCACTGGAGCCTACTCTACAGAAAGAGCACGACCACCACCGACTTCTTCTGGGGCGGCTGCGGCGACGGCAATGACGGCGACGGCGGTGGTACCGGCAGGTGTCACAGTAGCACCGATTCACTAAGATTGAACCAAGCAGGAAGCAAGAGTAAAGTCGGGCGATTTTTTGAATCGCTTACGATGCCCGAAGGGCATCGCTTCCTCTACCGTCGCTACGAAAGGCTGTTCGTATGTACAGGAGGGCGTGGCTACAACAAAGGTTGTACGATTCGTTGTGCAACGGAGTGAATGTGGTGTGGTTATTTCACTCCTCCAAGTACGCCAGCTACCAACATTCGCACCGGGTGCTCGCCTCAGACCAGATGGAACAACTTCCTGACATGGTCACCAGTGAGGTTTACGGGAAAGGTCGCTTAGGAATTCGTTAGGTTGCCAGGAGGCCGCGTGCGTGGTGATGGCAAAATTCACTGATATACAATGAGGCAGTGAAAATTGAGCTTCAGGCCCTCTTGCCTGACGGAGTATATGGCCAACATAAACCAAGCCCAATTCTCGCATGATCGCATGTATTCCGTGGAGGGTAGTAAATATGTAGCAAACTCTCTCGCCAACTGTACCAGCTTCGCTCGTTCTGCAGGATTTTTCATGCGGTTGGTCCCTACAGGCTCGATCGTCCTGTGGCTGAGTGGTGCAAATGCAGACTCAAAATTCACACGTGTGCCACTTCACGCTAGACCCACCTCCCGAAGCCTTATGCTGCTAAAATTCACGCTCTTTCCTTTATCATTATGGCTTATGAAGTCTCACCACATCGATATATGTCGCAGACAACTCGCTGCCATACTCTCTCTCCCATACGGCGCGAACATGAAAGGAATGTGTTTGTTAGATATACTCGCAGCAGTACCTGGTCGTGAGGATCCCAGGGGGATACGTGTTGGGAATTTCGTGTGTTGCAGGGTACCATCGGTGCGGTCACGGGGACCCTTTTGGCGTGGTTGGTGCGATGAAGCTTGCGTGCGTGCTGCGCTCACTTCTTCCTCTCTCTCTCCACCACCACCACCGTCTCTCTCCAATCAAGTTTCCTTCTCCCACTCTCTCTCCAACTCTCTCTCAATCTCTCTCTCTCGGCCTAACACGGCCGACTACCCAGTGCCCCAAGTAACGTCCAGAACGTGCTTGCTGCACCCCGCGTAGTTTACCTTTCACACTAGTGCGATATCACGGTATCTGCGCGCGGGCGTAGCCATCCGGGGGTTGTGCAGTCACGCGCAATCGGTAGACTCCCACAACACCAAACATCATGGAGGACATCGACCTCTCCGCCCTCAGCGGGGAAGAGCTACAACAAAAAGTGGAGGAGATCGTCCAGCAACGAGTGCAAGCCGAACTCGAAGCCAACAGGATCAACGAGGGTGAAGTCACCATTGCCCAACCACCAGCCGGCAACCCAGCCACTCCAACCGGCAACCCAGTCCCACCTACTGGCAACCAACCATCACCCTCCAGCCAGGGTACACCAGCCACATTCAACGACCCCAGCAGCGTCGCACACATCGTGGCGCAAGCGGCCAAGGCGACAGCTGAGGCCATCGCTCAACAACAGGGCTTTGCCCGCTCAGGCACGTTACGTGTCAATCCAGGCTCAGAAATCGAACCTTGGCTTGGTAGTGTAAAGAAGGAGCAGGACTTGTACATTATGTTTGATATTTTTCGTGGTAAGATGATTTCATATTTTCAGGAGGAGGGTGTGCATGATGCGTTGGAACTGGAGGTCGAGGTCAAGGTCGGGGGTGTGAATGTAGGAGACCTTCGGAGACTGTTTGGAAATGAAGTGGTAGACAAGTCTTTCAAACTGTGGAATATCCTCATAAGCAAGGTTATGTATCCCCCGATTCAGAGCTTGATTCTGGCGTGTGAGAGTCCCCAAAAGGGCTGGAAAATAGTGACCGAGTTCTATCAGGAGAAAAGGCAGTCAGAAAAGTCGAGGTTGGAGCAGGACTGGAAGGAGTTGGAGATGAAAGAGTCCGAGAGTCCACAGGATTACATTGCCCGCTCAGAGGCCCTTCGCCTGCGTCTCGCATCTGTAGGCACGATTAAGGATGAAACAGATGCCAACAAAGACATTGCTCGTGGCCTTCCCTCTTCGTTGTATGCCGTGCAAAAAGGAATACTGCTTGCCCATGATGTCCTGACGTTGCGTACCCTTGAGACTGTGGTGAGGGACGCCCACGTGGAGATGGAGCGCGAGAGGAGCAAGGGGGAGAGGCGCGAGGTGGAGCTCGCTCTCGCCGCATCCGGCATGGGCCGGCGCGGCGGGGGCAGTGGGGGGGCATCCTGGGGTCAAGACGGCGGTCAGGCAGCAGCTGGCGGCCAAAATCGTGACGGAGAGAAGAAAAATAGTGACGTGTTCAACGACGACCCCGGCGGATTTTGCCGCTACCACCAGTCCGAGCTTCACACCAACGAGCAGTGTCGTCTCCAGCAGCAACTGCGGCGTGCGCGTTCGAGAGAGGGCGCCGAGGAACGTCGCTCGGGCGGCGGCAGCCGCGGTGGCGGCGGTAGCCAGCGAGGGGGTAGACCGCCGCCGGGACCCGGCCGCGGTGGCGGGCGATGGGTGAGGATAGAGCAGCAGCACCACACCGGTCATGGTGGCGGTGGCTGGAGCCAAGCCTCACCCCCCCCGCGACCTCTTCGTGGACGTGGGCCTGGTGGTCGTCTGGGGCGTCACCCGGGGGGTCGTGGGCCCGCGGGACGCCACAGCAGCGACGGGCGTGCCGAGAGAGATCGGGCAGGGAGAGGCCCGGGGCACGCGCGTTCTGGCCACGGAAGAGAGCAGGCGTACGTTGTGTACTACACCCACGATGATGGTGGCTACTACGAAGATTACGGCGACTACGACGAAGGCTACTCCTACGACGACGGCTACCACGACGCCGGGTACGCCCACTACGCCGGCGGCGGGGACAGCTACAGCTACTCCTCCGGGTACGAAGACAGCCGTTCATCTGACGGCGGGATCCACTACGTCTACTACCCTCCCGCCGGTCAAGATTCATCATCCGAGCAGCCACGTCAGCACCCCCATCAATGCTATCCAAAACAGCAGCTACATTCGCAGCATCAGTCTCAGGGATAAACGCGGGGAAAAACTCTTGATACGGGGTGTCATCATAGCCATCCATGAGCTGCTCGTCGGTGAGCACACTCGTGTCTCCAAGATCCATACCCGGAAAAGTACCCACACAAACAAACTCGGACGCCGGAGAAGGTACTACGCCGGCAGAGCCGGCGGGCGGGACGCTCTCACTCG